TAGTTTGTTAGGTTAGGTTAGGTCCAATTTATAAGTCCCTATTGTAATCCCCATTGCCCAATAAATCATTATTAAGTATATAACTAGAAAAGGTTCCTCTTGTTTTTATTTGTGGCCATATATGTAAACATCTAGCGACTGAGCCTGCGCGTAACTGGAACCCGAGCCCCCACGACGAATTAAGTGACGGATTCGCTTAATTCAAGTAGTGGTCACCCGCTACATATATATAATATCCCATTTTCCCATTTGATATGCAACGCCTCTTTGATTTTTCTTTGGCTGGCTTTTAAAGCGGAACACAGTATACGAAAGCAGTACTCGTTACATTGAGACGAACTGTTAAAATGTTTAAAAATGTGCGAGTTCTATCCTGTCCGTGTCATGTGTGCGTTAATGCGTATTGTAAAATGTCGGCCGGTTTCGCCTAAGGCATAACAGCCTGCGCACGTGAATTTGTATACAACGTTCCAACGTAGACCATTCGGGATAGGATATTTCACAGAAAACATATTTCTTATTTTAAATGAAGAAGAAACTAATTTGATGTTTAAATCATTACAAAACTGTTTCGTTATTGAATTAATCTTATGTGAAGTAACTTTAGAAAATAGAAAGTGTAGGGCAACTTAATATAACGGATATCAAGGAGTCGTCCGATTTTTCGTTTGTGTTTTTTGACATCGGAGTGAATGAAAACAAGATACCTATTAATCATTTTGTCAATTAAATGCAACGGAAGCATATTTTTCCTAAGAATAACAATTAAACCTTGAGGTCCGTATGAAAACCTGACCAATTATTGTTTATCTTATGAGTTTTATCAACTAAAATACGGATCAGTGCAATTTTATATGAAAAAGAGCAAAAACTTTAAAAAAATGGTAAGTAATCGTGTGAAAGTATTTTTGTCTATATACATTGATCAAACAATAAGAAAACGGTAGCACTTTATAGACTATAGTTGAAATATGTATTGTCACAAGCTTTCGTGTACACAGTACACTTTTTCAGGTGACCTGAAGAAGTCAGGTCACCTGACGGGCCGACTGGACCTCCTTGAGAATCTACCCCTGGAATATGTTGTATATAATATAGGCCTAATATATATTTAGTATCATAATTATTTTATCTAAATTCTATAATTACCACAATCCCGAAACCAATTCTTGTTTCCTTCAGTGGTGTTCGATTTATGTATAATTTCTAGGTGCTGTTTGTTCGCAGAGTTAAACTCCTCTATATGCACACTACACAATTCATCAAACCAACCGCAACATATCGGTGACGGACGATTAGCGAGTACAATGCAAAATAACACGAATATGCGTGATGTCCGGTCCATATCTGCGATGGTCGATTTGCCTGTGAGCTCACTCTTCAAATGATGTTGATTAACTTAAACCTACTCAGTAGATCGATGTTGTAATTAGATTAGATTAGGTACATATTAATGAAACATGTTCAATTCCCATAGGAATAATTGTTACTTGCTTAATAACAGACAATGAATGAGCAAACACAAAATCAATATCCTGTTCACATAGGCCTATACAAATAGGACCTAAATAATATTTTATAAACATCTACTAATTTAATTACCCATTCCTACACGGTTTGGTTTCCCAACCTCGAGGTCTGGATTCGATCCCTCGTGTGCATTACGATTGTGTCCTTGAGCAAGGTACTTTCTCCTTCTCCCAGAGTATCGATACCTGGAGGTGCAGTCAGTGCCTACTATTACGCTGATGATACATCCCTAACACTTTAGTATGGACCATGACCAGGGAATATCACAATCGGTGACCCTCCAATTCGAGATTCCTCTCGAGACCCCTTTAATTCAAGACCACTTTTCAAAGAACAAAATAACAATCTTAAAATCATTTTAATATAAAGCTAAACTTCTAACTAGTTGGAGACCGAACTCCGAGACCACCTCAAACTTTCAGTTAAGAGTTTCTCGTAATGGAGGGAAAGCTGTGGCCTATTTAAATTTAACGGTACATTTAACCAAGGAGGTATGGCCTTAATACCACTATTCCTAATCAGAAATTATGTTTCATAGGCCTATTTTTCATATTCAAAACAATATGAGATGAACATTCATCGTAACATGTATTTAGCTAACAAACTGAACTAACAGTTAAAAACAAATTTAGTGACTATAGATTTATTAAATGTATATTTGTTAATATACATTAGTTAATCCAGTGACAATTTTTTTTATAAGTAAATGTTATTTTTACTTACAGACTTTTTTTACTCTTGTTTATGCTTTATTGTAGATGAACTTTGTTCTACCACTGATTTGTTGACAAAAAACAATTTTCTAAGTTTTATTGTAAAATTAATTGGTGTATTTGTTAACTATAAAGCAGCCAATGTTTGCTTTTTGTAGAAAGGTTTTGGTATTATTTTACGCCCTCTTGAAACCTGCTTTTTGTTTAGCTATAGAGGGCGATATAATTAGCCGCACAAAACTGCTGTTGATATTTTGATGGGATTTGTTTTGGATAAACTTGATAAATAGAGAATTAAGATTTTGGACTTGCTTGTCAATGAACTATCTTTTTAATTGTCTATATGAAGAGGTGAGACATATGTTTTTTCTTATTAGATGTTGCAAATCATCTGCATTTATTGTATAATTAGCACTAACCAGGCTAGGCCTATCGTGTGCTCAGTGTAGGTTAGATAGGTAGGTTCTCTACCTCAGTCGGGAGAGAGTGGCCGATGCCGATGGTTGAGAGCATCTTTGCATTACTTGCTAGGCCTAGCTTTGGCGGTTAAACAAAGTATTTGGTAACTTCGGTAGTAGCTTCACTCTCAAAGCGTTAATATACTGTACTTTTGTTCTACACTACTAAAAGTCACTTAATTATAACAGTACTGTCACTGAGTAGAGTAGGCCTAGGCTAGGGTAGGCCTAGCTAGGCTAATTATTGTAAATTTATCATTCACTCAATTATACCTCCATGATTCAATCTGTTGCATTTTTTAAAGAATAAAAGATGACTTGTGTATATGTTTGTGTTGTTAGATGTGAAAATACCATATTAATTATATTATCAATTAGAAATCTTATATTACAACATAAGCATTGTACTATAGTATAGTACAATATAGCTAAAAGTGCAGAAAATGTATTTGATGAAGGACACAGTATTAATTGTTAAGTTTTAAATTATTTCAGCATGGTAGACTTATACTGAGGAAACATATGGAGAGAGATGAAACAAGAAATTAATACACATGGCAGTTTTCTTTGAGGATGTGTGCTGATAAAATCTAAAGAACATGGTGTTAATATTATTTCGTTCACAACATTAAAAGTGTTTGCAATGGAGCTGAATGCAAGTGGTACCAGCTACCATAAGAACGAAGGATCCTCAGTCAGCAAGCCACGGACAAACGGACGATCCCAGAAACCAACGAGAGAAGAAGAGTTGAGAAGGCAGATAACACGTCTGATGAACAAAGAGAAAAAAGACGGTCGTAGAAATGAAGCAAACGACAATGATATTGATACAAATACGGCTTCCAATAAACATTCGGCTTCCACAGAATTGGCATTTGTTATAAAAAAATCAACCAATGAGCTTTCAGAACCAGAAAGGACTGCTCCAGATTTAAATGAGGATGATATATTGTCGCAAGAAAATGAGAATGATGATGATGATGTACTTGAACATATTGAAGCAAATAATACCATTACACCTTTTGCTGCTCCTCTGTCTCCAATCATCGAAGAAGGTACAACAATTTCCAATGCTGTCATAGTGAAGTCTTCTTCGTTGCGTAAGCAGCGCAGCAAAGGGAAGCGTGCTGCAAAGGATAATTATACAAGATATCTTGCCTTAGAGGATGACATCATTGGTGAATCAAATGATCACGATGATGCTGAGGGCACCGTGACAGAGAAAGAAACGAAGTCTTCCACAGGGAGTAATACACCGCCATCTAAGTTTGTTCCATCTTCTTCTTCCACACCTAAAGTGTCATTAAAAAACACCCCAAACCAGGTAAGTTTTTTTTTGTGATGATACTTATCTGTGTCATTGCCGCACTCGGCCTCAAAACTGTGTCAAGCATGCAGGCACTGATGGTATTGCAGTACATTACACATCCTTTCTTTAGTATTCTAGAACTCATTCAATACAGTGATAGTAAAGGTTGGCCAAAAGGTCAAGATTTGGTAAAACAACTACAGCACAGGTTGACTTAGGTCTAGTTTAGACTAGATGGATAAACCCGGCTCAACTCACTGGGTTTATCCACCTGTCAGTCTGAACTAGGTGGCTTATCTCAAGCCGGGCTTTGTTCCTATAGTAGCTAGACCTGGCGCACCACCATGTTTAACTTTTCTAAGCCTATCTTTAATCATTACGGGGGGTCTTGCATTGACTTCCTGGTAACAAAATGACCAATCAGCAATCAGCATGTCAAAACAGACACTGATCATCTGAATATGTACAGTAATATTAAAACTGAGCAAAAACCAGTATAAAAAAATGCTATAAAAGCAGTGCATTTAGGTTTTATAAAAACACTGGAAATGTCAACACTCACTATTAAAAACAAAAAATCGCTTTGACCCTCCAGCACATTTTTATGTTCACACCTGACCTACAACATACTCCCTTACAATCAGCTGCTACCGAGATATACATACAGTAGATCATTGTGCATCCTACCAGGATGACACCTATTTATAAAGCAGAGACAAACCAGACTTCTCCAAGGACACGTAGTACTGTGGGTTTCGATAATTATAAAAACTAAATTCAATTTAGGATATTATGCAGCACATCACTCTCGCCACAGTTAGTGGTATTTCGCTCTCTACGATCTGAGCAGGACTTGGAGTTGGTTGTTCCACTCTGCCGAACCAAATCGTATGGTGAAAGGGCTTTCTTCATTTGTGGCCCCACCCAGTGGAGCCAGCTTCCCAGGGATATTACCGAATGTATCACAATGAACTCTTTTGAATCCTGTCTAAAAACTTATTTATTCAAACATATAGAACGATCAAGCGTTCTATCTATTAAAAATTAAATAAATTAAAAAAATATATAAAAATAACAAAAATGAATTAATAGTTATATACAAATTGCTAATGTATCCCATTTTCTGTAAAGCGCTGTGAGAATAATTTATTGGTGGCGCTATTTGAAAATAAAATTTATTATTATGCACTCTAATTATCCTAGAAGACTGTTTTCTTTTTAAATGAATTGTGTTTCCTGCAATGTTGCTACCAGCATCTGTGAAAGTATGTCTGTACATATTTTTGGTTTATTTTTAGTTAAGCATTCATAAATGGTAACCATTACTCTAATAGCTATTCTTCTCTCAGTGTTTGGATTTGATAACCATGGTTCCGTAGATGTTCACTCTGAAAATACTAGGTAAATAGTTTTCATAATTTTTTTTATCCAACAGTGAATACTCGGCTGCCTACTAGTTTTAATATATGTTCTGTGCTTTGTAGCAGTGGTTCCCTCCCTTTTGGAACCCTTTGGGACAATATTAAAAGTCTTACAGACCCCCAAGTCTAAGTTTAGTCATTGTCAATATTCCACCAATAGGATGGTAAGATTATACAGTAGGTAGGTCTAGAAGATGATTCGCCATAACGTCAAAGGTATTTCATTATCAAAGGCTCCTATTGATTAGACATTTATTACACTGTTGTAAGATAAGAAAAATCAAAAATTTGTCTAAAAGTTTTCGCAGCCCCTTAGGCCAACGAACTCAGACAGCATCGTACGACGGCGCAGCCTGGTGCAATTTGTTGTTACATTGGGTCTGTATATAAGTAATCAATTGCCAAGCTGCAACTCCACTCTATACTGTAAAATATTTTATATCTATTACTACATACTGTAACTTCATATTGGCATTAATACTGCACAATTTACCTTAGGATTTGGCAATTTTGAGTAATGACAGCTTAAACACTGGATTATGTAAATATCAATATTATATTGTCATTATGAAAATAATTATTCAGTGTAATTTTTTAAATGTTGAGTGTAATTTTTTAAATGATTAACATTCAACTATCCAACCGAGGTGTTGAAATCTAATTCCATTGTGTAATAGTGGGGGAAGTACTAATTGCCGCGGAGTCTCTTAGGTAATTGGCAGGAATATAATGGTTTTCAAAACTGTGAGTAACAGAATTTTAACCTGAACATGGAATTCATGAATTTTAAACCATGATTGTTTTAGTTGATATTTAAATAAAATTCTGAGGAAATGAAATTGATAAATGTATAACAATATACATTTTAACAATCCACATGTATTTAGTAGACTTCAGACTATTATAAAAAAAAATATTTCAATATGGTTGTTAAATTATTTACAGTATGAAAATGTCTATTGTACATAATCTTAATTAGCATTAAAATGGTTTAAGAATGACTTGAGATATTAATTATAGTGAATTTATAGATTTTAGTTATTTTATTTAGTGCATGGAGCCCTCATATGATAAGTTAAAGAAATACTGGCAATTTCACTAAATACAGTATTTGATTTGATAAATAATTAAATAATATAAATAGTAACAAATATTTGTATTTAATAATATTATTAGCCAAAAATAATGATTATGATAAATGCTAACAGACAATCATAAATTATTTCATCTGTACTCATTAACATTTGTAAAATTTAATATTACATATGACTAATACTGTATTAATTACTGAAGGCATTTGAAAATATTCAAGAGTATACTGTAGTTCAATGCAATAAATCACTACTGTAAATAGTCAAAGGATTACAGTAGTTACACAAAGTCAATATTTAGGTATTACAGTACTTGAAACTAGAATTAATTGGAAAAAATGTATAAAATTCACCAAATTATTTAATGTACAATATTATACAATTACAGTATTATTGAATTATATATATAAAAAAACCATAATACTTTAGGCAAAAATTTTGTTATACCTTGTTACTTATTTTTTTAAGGATGGTCAGAGGAGGGTGGAAAAAAAATAACATTTTGTTTTCTTATTAAACATGTAGACAGAGGAGAAGATAAAAATTAACTTGTTATTGGTGATTGTAAGAAGTGACTTCCAGTATAGGATGGTTAAATGCTTTCAATTTATATAATTATAAAGAAATACATCATATTTTTGGAAATTTCAAGGCAGCAGCTGGCATAACAAAAATAAAGAAAAATTTTTATTTTTTTATGAAATTTCAATTTATTCATAGTGGCATGTGCACTAATTGGCAAAAAATAAAATTTTATTTTTATTTGAAATGATCATTATTATGAGCGGGCGGAGGGTTCGCTAAACATGGTATAAAAAAGAGTCTCGCCGTAGTCTGTTAAAATTTTTAATAGATTGCCATTGGTGAGAAAGTAAATCTTAGTTCTATTCTAAAATTCAATTGAAAAATAATAGTGTAAGCAATTGAAAATATAGTTTTATTCTTATTCTTCAATGTTCTTGTTCTTTTTGTACTACTAGTATTTATTAAATGACAATAAAATAATATTTTAGTAATTTAATAGAAGTAATAGAAATAGCCGAAATAGAAATAGAGTACTTTAGTTTACAGTATTCTTCAATCATATTAACTGTATATCTTTAGTCATATTATTGTGGACATTTTATTTATACCATTTCCATTTCAATACAGTAATTGTTTTCTGATAGATATTTGAAGTACCATAACAATAATATGACTTCAGTTACGACCGTTCAAGGCCAGTCCTGATTGTTGTTTAATATCACCATGCACTCCGGTGCAGCGCTTCACCTGTGTTTACACATAGCCAATGACACCCTGAGACAATGCTTGCCTTCACCTGCTATTCAACTGCTCATAGCTATACACATGATCCATATTGACAATTTGTGTTTATAATCGCATTCTAATGAGTGATTTGAATATTAGATTTTATTATTCATTTGGTGTCAGGACATTTGGTGCCGGTTGTGGCTTGGACTCCCAACCTTGAGGTCGGGGGTTCGAAACTCTCGCTGTGCAAATCGCTTGTGTCCTTGGGCAAGGCACTTTATCTACAGTTGCCTCTCTCCACCTAGGAGTACAAGTGGGTACCTGGTAGGTTCCAACACAACTGCGCTGATTACTAGCTGCAATATTATGGAATAATAATATAATTTAATTTAATAATTTAATTTGGAGTTGAGTATGTGTTCCATATGTGTTTGATCCAATGACCGGGGTAGTAATGTGAAGCGCTTCGAGGCTTTGTTTATGAAGCACTATATAAGAACGACATATTATTATTATTATAAATATTCAAAAATTCACAAGGTGAAATACAAAAATCAACATATGTACAATCAAACAGTGTAAATTCAAGTATATAGGCATTTAATCTTTGTAGCTAGTGAATCAGATCTACAGACAGTGTTGTGTTGTTCAGTAGGACAGGACATACAGGTACGTTCATCTAAATTTATCACTTCTCTCAGGAGTACAGGTAAAAATAGGTACCTGGTAGTAAGTATTGTAACAAAGCCTTCTGTGTTTGTGATTTCCCTGATTAGTTTTACATTAAATAAATAAACAAGCATGGACCATTAAGGATAATTACCTCCCACTGTGAGGTCTTTACTTGTTTCAGTATGCCACCATACTATAGACCACAGCAATTGAACCCATTGTGAAAAACAGTTACACTTTGTTCACACCTTGTTTAGAAATGATTGGTTGTTAGCTTGCTGGCCATGTGCTGCTGCTACCATCAACATCCAGAATTGTTTTTTTCCGCGATTTCTATTTTTATATTTTAATTTTATCATGTTGGTCTTTTTTAAATTAGGATAAATTTCAAAATTTTGTATGTATTTGTAAATGTTTTTTTTTTTAATGTACAGTGTTGTTATGTGTCTGAATAAATAAACCCAATAATAAAATAATTGCTAATTAAAAAATAGGTCCCTTTTTAAAATTCAAGATCAAAATTGGAAAAAATAAGCTTAAGAAAAACATTAAATTTTGAGCATTTGGCATAGTGGTT